CTTCTGCGGCAAAACGACCGCATCTGCGGTCCCAGCTCTCTTTTGCCAATTCTGCATCTGCAACTATTGGGCCGCTTCTGCGGCTCCGCACCTGCGGCCCAATTCTCGCAGGTGCGGTTATACCAGCAACCAGCAACTTCAGCCTTCCAAAAATTCCATTTTCGATCTGTTAACCACCCGGAATCCACCCGAGGCCCCCGGGACCCCAACCAATCATACTAACCAGTCCCAAAACACATTACGGACTTGTTCGAGGCCTTAAATCATATCAAACAACGCTAAAACCACGAATCGACCTCCAATCCAAGCTTTATGAACTTTAGAATTTCAAACTTCTACTTTCGATGTTTAAACCTATCAAATCACGTCCGATTAACCTCAAATTTTGCACACAAGTCATTCGATATTATGGACCTACTCCAACTTTCGGAATCGGATTCCGACCCCGATATCAAAAAGTCCACCTCCGATCAAACTTCTCAAAAACCTTCAAATTTCTATCTTCAGCCAAATGACTCCAAAATGACCCACGGGCATCCGAATTTACCTCCAATCGCGCTCCCAACTCTAGAATCACCATACGGAGCTACTCCCAGACTCGGAATCCCAAACGGGCATCAATAACACTGAAATGCACTTCAACCCAAACTTATGAAATTTCTTTCAGAATGCTAACTTCCAAATTAGGCGCCAAAACGCTCCCGGATCATCCAAAACCCGATCCGGGCATACGCCCAAGTCCGAAATCATCATACGAACCTGCTGGAACCTTTAGATCCCGATTCCGATGTCGTTTACTCTGAAATCCAATCCTAGTCAATTTTCTCAACTTAAAGCTTCCGAAATGAGAATTTCCTCTCCAAGTCAACTCCGAACTTCCCGAAATTTAATTCCGACCACGCGTACAAGTCGTAATACCTGAAATGGAGCTGTTCATGGCCTCAAACTGTTGAACGGCGCACTAGAGCTCAAAACGACCGGTCGGGTCGTTACATTAGGTTGGAAATTTTGAGCAAATATCAATAAAGATGAAGAACAATGCTGGTTTTCCAGATTTTTAAGTTATGTCTCTCTTTTTGCCTTTAGGTTACGGGTCTTAACTTGGGCGGGTCAGTACTGGGTGGATTTTTTTAAATTGGTGGTGGGTCGTTTAATGAGGAGATGACACGTGGCACCTCCGTCTAACTAAGGGCAGATTTGTTAGGATAGTAAGACGGCAGGGACTTTTATGGTCCAATAGTATAACGGCGGATAATTTTAAATAATTTATCATAGTAGAGGGACATATCAGACCCTTTTCCGTTCATTTAATAATAAAAAACATTGAGTGGTTGAGTCATTGACTTGGTTACGACAAAAAATACGTGGACAGATTCAAAATTACCTTTAAATATTGTTGATTCCTTTACCTACTCACGAATAATTGGTCGTCTGAGACTGAGCTGGCCGAGGAAGGTGCTGACCAGAAAGGCGCAGCCAGCAAGATCAGCAGTCAGCACCTTTACGTAAAATAAGTACTGCAAATCAACCCTATAACCCGTTAATTATAAGGGTGGGGCGGGTTTTTAAAATAAATGGGTCAAAAATTACCTAGTTGACAAATTATTTTTGGGGGTCCCATGCCACATAGGATATTTGTTAGAGTTAGGGACAAATTTATATGCTTTACTAATGGTGGGTATGATTTTGGACGGAAAGTAAAAACGAGTAGTAAGGTGACTAATTTTCAATAGTATAGATACAATTTTGGCCTTTTCCCCTTAGAAAAATAATGAGAAGTAATTGTAGACACCATTACCATCCGAGCTCCATCGTCACTGCCGAAAAAGAGCCGTCCGAATATCATCCGAAGAAAGGCCATTCACCAGAAAAACAGAGGCGGCAGTGATCCCCTCACAAAATTCTCCTATCTTCACGTCCATTCAACCAACAATTCTCCATTGCCACCATACACGTATTCCCCCATTTTCGATGAAGAAATACCACTAAAATCACCAATGATACACCCAAAAATATCCCACTGATCCATGAATGAGTCATGAATTATTTCATCTGACCATCTTCAAAATCATCCCAATTTTTTGATTAATAGAGTACCCTAAGAAAAGAAATGGGGATATATTATCCCAGCAAATGTTTGGATATATCAAATCAAATTGGTCTAAGCTCCGTAATTTTAAATCTCCAAGACCCATCTTCTGTGATGTATGTAAAATTTTGGAATTAATTTTTTGTATGATTGTGTGGGTTTTCAGCTATTAATTAGATCTATTGGTGCTTTAAGAATTGACAAAAAAATTAAAATAACGTGACAAAATAAGAAGAAACGAGGAAAGAAAAGAAAAAAGGGAACAGAGAGGAGGGGAATTGGGGGACGAAGAATAGTAGAAGGTGAGAAAGGGGGAAGGAAAGGAGAGGCGAGCAGTTTCTGGGGTATTGTTCGGTTTTAGGGGCTGGATCGGGTGCAATGGGGGATGAACGGGTAAGGGATCCAAATGGGTAAATGGTTAGGTTGTGTAAGATTATGTCACGTGTCTTTCTAAAAGGGTCCGTTAGTGATATGGGCAAAAATATTAAAATGGGTAACGGTAGGGATTAATAGTGAAGGAAAGTATAATGGAGGGTACTAATAACTAATTATCGATAGTAGAGGGACAGAAATGACCCTTTTCCGTATATTATAACATTGATGCATAAACTAATAGATTTTCCTAAATGTTCAGTCCTTATTATGAGGTAATTTTTTTTACTTATTATGAGCTCAAGTCTATATTCAAAAAAAAATTTATTCAATATTCTATGCACTTTTATTGATAGACGCAAAATTCACGTGCAACGCACGTATACTAAACTAGTAAATACTAAACAAATTAACAAAACTAATATAAATCTTAGAAAAATAGTATCAACGTTAACGCCAATAAGTTTTATCTATTTTTCATTGCATTAATGAATTTTAACAAGAAAACGTTAAGAAAGTGGCTGCCGTTAACATACAACTGACTGAAGCTAAAGTTAGGGCAAGTCAAATTTAAAGAAAATCCCTGAAATTGTGACGACACTGCAGTAATGCTTTTTTATGTACTAGATTGCCAACTTTGTGGTGCAAGGGATCATCTTAAAGGATCTTCAAAACAATAGTATCGCCAAAGATTAGAACGCTGATGAAAAAAAGAAAATCTATGAAGGTAAGCGAGAGAAAAGGACTTACAGATTAAAGAGTTTTTTTATGATTGACAAGTTTTTCTGTTAAATACACTGGAATTTTTACCTTTCTTGAATGTAAAAGCTATTTAATCTTAATGATACCAATTGGGATCTTAATAGCTCAGTTGGTTGCTAAGCTATGCGCGGATCGGTTTGGATCAGATTTGGGAACTTTCGTATATACTTAGGCTTTAGGATATTGCAAAATATAATCCAAATCTCATTCCAATAAGCTTGGATTAGATCAGATTTTTTGAGTTTGATTTCGAATTAATCGATTTGGATAATTTGAATTTTCGGTTTTGAACCCGTAAGTTGAGTTGCTTTTTTTTTTTTGTTTACAAAATGAATATTTAAATTGCCTTAATAGTTTCTCATTCCCATCGTAATCATCCAAACAAAGTGTTCATGAAAGCAATGAAATCATTACTAAGGAATTGCAACAGAAGCATTAATAAGACCCTAAAATTAATATGTCCAACATAGTAAAACCATGCCAAACAGAAAATATGCTAGCAGTGACATCAATTTTTTTTTTATTAAATAGTCGTCATCTTGAAAATTAATAAGTCCAAGCATATTGGACGCAGTAATTAAGTATTGGATATATGGGCTAATATCTAATGGGTAACCGGGTAGGGCTATATAAGATATAAGAGTTTCGGATTTCGGATGTTCAAAAATTTGAAGTTCCAAAACTGAAATCCAATTCGAAATTCGAAAATTTTAAAAGTTAAATCCGACATCCAATCCACATTTGAAAATTGAAACTAAATATAAACTCGGTTTGAATTTCGATTCGGATTCGGGTTTATCCAAACTATGCACACCCCTAGTTGATTGTCTATCTGAACTTTTCCTTTGTTGGTGAAGATTCGATTCCCCACAGCATCCCTATATAACAGTCATTCACTATAAAAGCCAAATTTTCTCAGAACCGATTTTTTAAGTTATATTTTACTTCTCTATAATAGCTTTTTACCTATAACAACAACAACCAAATTTATAGCAGAACGCTCTTTGTAAAATTACCTCTCTATAACAGCCACATAGAATCATTAAGATTCCTAATAATAATTTTAAAAATACGCACACAATCTTTTCCATTAAACAAAGTTTCTATCTTGCATAAGACATAAGATTTGCAGATTCGCACATGATATCTTTTATTGATTCCAAAAAATATTAAGATAGAAATTTTAACTGTTAATCGCTTAGATTGTCTTCAAGGGAAAGTTACTAGATACCTCTTTGCTGAAAATTTGGACACGAATCTTTGCCAATTGAAGCATTATATTGCTAGTAAGAGAATGAAATCTACAAAACAAGCTACAATTACAAAAGTTCTTCCATCAATCTTGAAAAAATTTATTTTCCTAGTTAGCTTTAAAATGTCTGTATTAGAGTTTAAATCTTTATGCGTTTAGTTATGAATTTATTAATAATGTATTAGCTTTCTTCAATATTTAACTAGTGAAATATGCATATCTTTTGAGATTTTAAATTTGAATAATATTTTTATTTTTTATATGTAACATTAAAAAAGAAAAATAATTGATTTCGGGGTAAGTTTTATCTATAACAGCCAAAAAAATTTAAATGTCAAATGCTGGTATAGGTGTATAACAACCACTCACTATAAAAGCCAAAAAATATCGAAACAAATGACGCTGTTATAGAGAGGGTTGACTGTAATTTCCTTTCCAATTACCCTTTCCTTTACCCCCTATATATATATAAATTGAAAAAAAAAACTTAATGATACAAAGGGAGTTGTTTCAAACACTTGTTAGTCACAGAAAATACCTCCAACAGAATCTTAGATAAATTTTTCCATTAACCGTTTCGTCACAAGAGTCAGCTGAAACTCACAATGTTGGATATCATCGGGTTTGTATGCCTAAACTAGTAACATGAATTTACAGTTGGAGAATGAACAAAAACATTTCTTATACAATTGTCCAGTCATTTTCAACGGGAGTAACAGGTTTATCAGCTGGAGATGAACTGCCGGGCTTCGGAGGTTTCTTTGAAAATATCGATGAGAATGGTTGCCGTAATGGACTCTCCTCCTGGTTCTTCTGGCCTTGGGGTGATAGTTTATCCTTGTTACCAAAAATGAGACTAAGCCTTTTAAATCGACTTTTTAGTTCATTGGCAGGTGCAGCTGTAGGTTCTTCAGGTTGAAATGTGATCCTTATGACTTCATCTGGACCAAGTACCATTGACTCTACAGTTTCGTAGACCTAGTAAAAAAAAATGTAATTCTTCATGGCATAACTTATTAATGTAACAATCAGACATTAATCCGTGATTATATAATCTATGTAACAGCATCCTGAATTATAAAGCCAATAAAATTGCAGAAAGAAATGTCTAACAAGCAACAGAACCCTGCTTCCCCTCCCCCGGAGTGGGACCGGCAACCAGGATTATAGGAAATCAATAGGTTTAAAAGGATTCCTAAAAAACTTTGCATCCCTCAAAAGTTGCTTGTCCTTTTTTGGTTAATAACTGAGGAATTCCAAGGGCCATTTGGTGCATGGTTCGAGACCTGATCAAATTCTTTTTAAGATGTGATATGCTCTACTGTTCTCCACTTAAAACACCAAGTTCTCATCCGCGATAGTGTTCATGACGTGTGCCGAATCCACACATCATGCACTGTGCTCTTATCATAGAACCAAACCCCTAGGGGCGTAGTTACTAATCTTCTACAAGACAATCCATGAGAGGATGTCAAATACACAAGCGCATCTCAGCAGCAAGAGTTGTGCTTGTATCCAACACCATGGGACACAGTCAGCAAGCTTATTCACCTCCATCAAGTCAGATTAAGACGTACCTGGCATAACTCATCAACTTTCTCAACCCAGCTGCTGCTTTGACAGGTGACAATGACGTACTCTTTACAATCACAGAACAGCTTTGATAAATTTGAGTTGTTGGAAAGGGTGGCCTCAGCAGTTACAAATCCTGATCCCAACTGAAATTTAAATAGAAAATAACATAAGACTATCAAGCCTTTGTGATTTGGAAGCTGAAAATATCATAGCCAAGCCAGAATAACACTTTATTTGCTATGTAAAGGAAATATGAGAGGGAGGGGGACATGATGACAGGAAATTTTTGACTTGGAAGGTTCCAAAGCATCACTAAATGAACTGCAATTTATAACTATATAATCGTTCTGGCTACTAAAAGTAGATGGAATATAGGAAAAGAAAGTGTGTCTCGCACAAATTACATCAACTTTTTCCTCTTGATGGAAAATGGATGCACAAAATGGAAAATTCTGAACAGTATATTTGAGTTTCTAAGATGAAATTTCCACGAGACAGACTGATATAAATTCAAATCTATGTTCAAAACAAAAGATACCAAGTCTTGAAACAATAATAGAAAATCCGTGCTCAACATGGACTGAAATACTACACAAGAGAGTGTCTGCTAGTCCCCAAAAAAATGATATTGGCATCCATTTGATTCTGGGGTTATTCATTCTGATTTCTGTTACCAATGACAGGCTGAACTCCTTCCTCTTGAGAGTTTGAGGAATGAGAGTAACAGAAGAAGACAGATAAATATTAAGACCAGACACATTTCATACATGCATAAGAGGACTTACAAGAGATATAAATAGCTGCTTGAAAAGCTCATGGGGTGAAATGTCCTCTAAATTATCCAGAATACTTTCCCTACAGAAAGCATCATAGAGTTCCTTTCAGAAAATCAAAACAAATTGTTTAGATCTTCTACGCTAACCTGGAACTTAAAAACTTACACAGCCAAATCCTCATCAAAGAGAGGAGTTTGTCTAACAGCTGGCACTGGCTTTGCAGTTTCCCATAGTTCGCGCCACAAGTTGCCTAAAAACATCAATCCATAGAACTTGTCAGACAGAGTTTTGCACACTTCCTGTTCTGCTTGGAGTATGCTCAAAGACGGTTTGTACATTATCAACAATCATAATGCAAACAATGAGAAGTCATAAAAGGACATCTAAACTTAGTGCAGGTACCACTTTCACCAACAAGTTTAAATGATTCTTCTATAACTTGCTTAGCATTATTAGTAAGTGAATAGACCCCTCTTCACACCTAGAACTGCTGGACATACACAAGAATCTTTCAACCAGGACCTACCTGACTTGCTAGTCTACTTGAATGGACAAGGGGAGAATACTATCATTTTGGAAGGTTTTGGCCTGCCTCCCGGAAACCGACAAAAGTCACAAATCCCGATCACCCATTTCAAACGAGTCAAAATATACAAGTTTCATCCAAATCCGACTTCAAATTGGGGTTCAAATCCTCATTTATGCTAAATAATGTGAGATTGTTCCTTTGTATCCACAACAGGTGCACTAGTATTTTAGCAGCTTCCTTAATTAATAATAGCCTATGCCCTACTGCAGATACAACTAAAAGCAAATAATAACCTTGTTTCAGTTTCTACTTTCTCCATTCATCTATTTCCATGAATCAATCAATCATTGGACTCCAGTAGAAAATAACATCAAATTTATCATAAAGCTTTAAGCAAAACCAATAAGTGGCATTTCAAGGATAAGATATCCACCATCAAACCTCGAAATAACTGTCATGATCCTGTTGCTTGTGCTAGCAAAATCTCTAAATAAAGCAATCCATTGAGGGAGCACTGTTATTCGAAAACAAGTAAGCTCACCTCCTAATACACTGAGCATATGAAACCTGAAGACTGATTAACAATGGCTGCTACCAGATAGAGATAGATGACCACTTTTTCTTCAGCAGCTCAAATAGAGGGTAAATTTACATCCTACTGGCTAAAGCAGACACTAAAACCAGCAAGTCTCATGAATGACAAAGAAAAGTATTTGAAGTACGACAATTGAAATGTGATTTCAGAAAACAAGAGAAGGGGGGATTGTGGTATGAAATTTGAGTTAATTAGAGTAGAACCTTCTTTCTGCATTCGAGTACTCAGTTGGCCTCTTCCAGACAATGAGTCATTAGCATCAAGGGTTTCATTGATTTCATCATTTGTATCACATTCCATCCAATCAGGAGGAGAATGCCATCTTATGAAATCTTCTAATATACACCCAGGATTTGCTGCCTAACAGAGTTCAGGAAATTTGCATGTTAATTTCAATCAGACACTGCCAAATTGCCAGCTTGAGAAGGTACTTGAGAAAAATCTAATTACAGCTTGTGTTACAGAAACTTCACCTTGAAAGCCTGCATATCAGACAGGAGTTGAGAGCACCCGGCTCCAAGACTGATAATAGAAGAAACAAGCAATTCAGATGAAAAGATCAAGATCATCCTACTTGTGCTAAAAGTTGGAGTTTTAGAGGAATTTGGGCAAGCATTGAACAATAAAAGGTATGAAAGAAAGAAAATGATAAGGAACAAAAAAATCACACAATCATACTTTTTAGATATAGAGAAAACTCGAAAGTTCCTCAATGTATTTGTAATAGCTAGCAAATAAGAAAATACAAGACAGTTTGAACTAAGTTCATGATTAGTGACATTCTTTTTGTTTCGATAAATTGATGATTAGTGACCACTTATCCAACAAAAGAAGACCTGCAACTACTGAGTCATTCCTAAGCAAGTTTTAATGCAAGCAACATACAGATAAAGTAAACATTTTTGAAGAACAAGTGCTAAACTGCTAATATTAATGATTGGCCTCCATTCATTAACACATGCCGGTTTATCTTAAAACAGCCTTAAGGCATATTACCTCCCTGTTCGGAGCACCAGCTCCTCTGTTTCTTTGATTAGATCTTCTGTTAGCAAAGGTTCTTCCTACATATATAGTCATGGTCATAAGCAATTAATAATTGAAGAGGAAACTATCCAATTATTATCTTAAGATCTGCTCCTGTCCACAAACCTGCATCACTGGCGTATATATAGGTTCACCCGTTTCCAACATTGTCAAATCAGATCGCGTGTCCACTCCTAACCGAAGAATTAATTCTCCCGTGCTAACTTTAGCGTACAAGACGGGAGTTGCAGGAAGAGTGCCCTCAGAAACAAGAACATCAGCATTTGAACCTGCTAGCCTCAAAACCGAATCCAATGATTCAGTGGCTGCAATGCGTCGATTTTTTCTGGAAATGCAACGGTTAATAACCTGGAACTGTTGATATAGAAGACACGAATTTAGGTTCGGAATTTGATCTGGAGGAATGCCAGGGATATATTGTCCTTCAGACCACAGCCTCCTCAACTACATGCAAAAAGGATTGAAGATACCGTACTCAGTTAGACCGTTTACAGAAGATTCATAACACATCAACTAAACTAGGAAAATGATCTAAAGAATAACTTGAGGTCTAAATAGTAAAGAAGATGATATTCTGTTAAAATCTCCACTATCTTACAATAAACTGAATGTGAGATTATTATCTACCCGTGTAGATATAACACATTAGTGCAGCTTAAACGAATGTGGACAGTGAGCTAATGCACTAGTGGACACTGCAAAATCTGGAAAAGGTTTTCCATAGACTCCATAAAATGGTAATGAGAGTAAGTGAGCTCTTTCACTCTTAACAAACAAAAAAAACGGAAAAGAAGAGGGGAAAATAGAGAAATGGGAAGAGAAGAGAAGAGTATGAAGAGATTCAATTTGCAAAAACTTTCAAACAAGGATATAGACTTGTCACTTATGTCAGTGTATAACTATATGAGAATGCAAATGAAATTCACATTGATTTGTACTCTTAACTATTAAAGCTATATCAGCTTCGGGTGGAATATTTTGCAAATTTTCTAGCAACCAAGTCAAAGACCATTAAATAAGGATAAAAAGCAGAATCTGAATTGACTATTTTTTATTGTTCTAAAACAATTCTGCTTCAAGAAATATGACTCCTAATTTTGTGTCTTCTCACAAGTCTTATCCAAATGCACTTAGTTTTTTTCCTGGAGTAAATGAATAAAAGCATTTGAAAGAGGTCGAAGGCCTTTCTGGTGGGTTTGGACCCTACCATTCTACAGATTGCCGTCTTAGCATTTTAAAACTGGAGTGGACCAGAGAGGTCAACCGGTTGGGATTTCAAATAAGCCTTTGTGCAATCCTAGTTATAAGTAGGGAACTGCTAGGTAAAAAATGGTTATCAGTTACTAAAACAAACGACCTCCACCACCATCCTCACCATTAAGAAAATAAAATAAGCATAAAGTGAAATTAATTCAAGACACACTACTTCTAACCATGGTAAACATGCTTAAATATACATACAGAAAAGAGAGAGAGATATATGATGCATTACAGTACCCAATTGAAGCATTAGAACGTGAACATCTAGTCCCTACTAGCCTTGCTGGTTCAAGGATCATTGCAGATGAATAAACTTTGACTTTTGGCAAGTTTACTACACTCAAGAGAACCAACTAGTATAGCATTAAGATATAGCTGCAGTTATCTATCAGGGGTGTAAAGTGACACTTCTATATTATTCTTCAGAAACTCCTTAACAGCAGGGCAGATAGCTCAATGCATATTCATATAAGAAAAAGCTGATGTGCGATGTAATCAATGACAACAAGCAGAGGTAAGTGATAGAGAAATCTGCTATGACAACATGAATCCCTAACATAGCTGCTTAGAAAACTGAATGTGAACTATTTTCATAGAGTCTACTTACTTCAGCAACAATTTTGCACCATAATAATGCCATTTTCCGCAGTGATTTCATACGTCCAATTACTTCAGCAAGCTTAACAATAAAACTTTCAGGAGGAGCTCCATGAATATCCTTGGGCAAAGATGAAGCATTTGCGGATGTTTCAGTATCAGAATAAACCTTGCTTCCAGGAAAATGTCCTTCTACAAGCATCTTGCAGATATTGCAGTTGAAGTGAAAATCACAGAGGGTAATCCAAATGGCTAGAGATAGAAATTACTAATATATTTACTACAAAGATATTCCACCACATAATTGAGGAAACTGGCATCTACCTGCGTCTAGCAATGAATTGATACGAGACAAGACTTTGTCATCAGCACCAAATTCGCCGGAAAACTTGTCTTCTTTTTCACGTAGCACTAAAGACTTCACTGCAGACAAGCTTAAGCTAGCCCTCTCCATGATGGGTGAAGAACCTCTGGACGAAGCTAGGAAGTCTTTCATTGTAATACACCTCTTTCCAGCCCTAGGGAAGAAGACAATAGGGGAAAATAGGAAAAAAAAAAAGGAAATTATTGCATCATCAATTTTAAGAAAAAAGCAACCATATACATAAGCGATTAACATTCTTTTTTAGTTCACAGACTAGGAGTTTATTAAATACTTCAAGGATATGCAAGAGAATTCACTTGCATGATGGAACTGAAAAATGTAAAATCAAACATTTCACATAAGTGCCAATTAGATGTGAAAATTCAGAGAGAACCCCAACTAAAATTGAAGTGATAGAAATTTCCAGATTTAAAGATAGACAATATCTTACTCCACAGCTACAGCTAGTTGCTTCATGACAGCTGCTGGAGGAATAACGTCACTGTCCCCAAGGTTTGACTCTTCCATCGTCGAACCTGATTCAGAGTCCTTAAGAAAATAAAGGAACACATAATATTAGAAAAAAAACAAAATTAAAAAGTCCATATTTCAGCTAAAGGAGACATAACAATGACATATCCCGTTATTCTATTGAAAAAGGAATCTTAATGATTCACTCGTCGGGATGGCGGGTCAGTGTAGAATAATAGAATCTCTTATTAGCTTATGAAGGAAGGAAGGAAGTGTAGCTTTGAAAGCAGCAAGGAGGCATTAGGGGAAACCTAGATTCTTTCCTTTGATAGAACTTCAAAAGTTGCAGATGAAGCTTTGCTCTCCAACTAAGCATTTCCTATAGGAGAGAACTATATGCACATTTACATAATTCATCAACTCTAATAATGAAGAAAATTTGATTCGAACATACAAAAGAAACATCTAGTCTATGTTTAAAGTTTTAAAAAGGCCCAGTAAGTAGATGATACCCAAGTATAGTATAGGTTTGACAACAGCATCAACTTTTGACTTACAAAAAGAATAAGCTTTAGCCTTAAAATAGCACCAATAAGGTTTCTGCAAGTATATGTCACCAATAAATAAGCACATTTCTGAAACAATGACAAACGCGGATAGAGTCGCTAACAAACAACTACCATGGCATGTCAAAAGGTAGAATTTATATGAGAAATAACCAGCGTAAAAGAAAAGCAGCTCAAGGAATAACGAAGACAAAACCTGTGTACATTAAGAACCTTGCGCTGTAGAACAAGTGAGATAGCTCACCTTTGAATTAGGTAATTCCCTCTCACTCATGAAGCAAATATTTTCATCAAAAATTGCATACGCCATTCGTGGACTTTCAGCTTTGTCAGTAGTACCCTCAGTTCCTTTTTTGCCTATTCTTATGTTCTTAAACCTCTCATGCCAGTCCTGCTTTGCCTTTATTGGTGGCGGTCTCCGCCATGAAGTCTTCCCTTCCTGGAAATTAGGCATCCTTAAGATTACTTATAACAGCTCAATATATTCTTAGATGTATCCAATGAAACAAACAGCTAAAATTCCAGTTAAAGAAATATAGAACATAACAGTATGAGCTGCATTAAGAAATTAAAGATATCGACACCAAGTTGTGCTACTATATTCCTTGTGGAAAAGAGAAACAGTGAAAATTGAAGCATTTGAAATTAGCCAGTTAAATCCGCCTATATTAGCTTCTAGGGGCAGCTTAAAAATAGGTTAAATATAATAGATCTTTTAATATGGAACTGAAGCGAGCAGTATTGAGGAATCATATAGCCGCCTCCAACTAATTGCATATCAAGGCATAGTTGATTGATTAACATTGAAATTAGCCAGTTGACCTGTAATTTTTTTGAACTTCTAATTGATAAAGTGAGTAATGAATTAAAAACAAGGTTAAAATCGACATTTGAACATTCTCTTTTTTCTCTCCTTATCATGTTCTTCATCAAGCAAAACATGAATCATACAATTTGAGGGAAAAAACCTCCCGATCATATGAATTCAACAGAAAAATATTGAAAAATCAGAATGATGATAATTAGAATAATCGAAGATAAAATTTACCTTCGACACGTCCTTATCCTCTGGAATCTCACTTGTTGACGTCGCCGGCGATTGGTTGTCGGAATCTGTTCAAATTTGAATATCGGACAGAGCAACAAAAAAAATTAAAACAGTAATGAAAAAGCATTTGTCATAGTAATTGAAAAAAGAAAAGGAGAAATGAGATGGATGAACCTGGATCGTTGATGAGATCAGATTTTTTAATGTCAGTGAAAACTTTCTCCGCTTTAGCCGCGGCAGAATGGAAGGCAGTTTTTGCTCTGGATACGAACGACGCATCCATTTCCTACGCCGAGTTTGTAGCAGCGGATTGGGAGAGAAATTGGATGGACTTATGGAGCAAAACAAATTCAACCAATGGATGGACTAGACTCTAGACAGACGGCCTTCGTCAAATTTCCAGCATTTGTTTACATGTAGATTTGATGCTCATCATTTTGAGCTAAAATAATATAAATAACTAATTATGCTACTATCATGTCTCCTATTGATAATTACACGGGCGTACCGCTCTACATTAAATTATATTCGATAAGGTAAGTATTAACTTTTACGTAGTTAATAAAATTCCAAGGAACCTAGTCAAACCTCCTTCCTTTCGTCCAACTACGAAAAGTAATTCTTTTGATTAATGACGGATGATAATACAAAAAATTATCTTTGACTATTAATTAATTAGTAGATAAATTTTATGAGCAACATTGGACATCAGAAAATACAATTTAGTGTGATAGAGTAGTTCTCTATAAGAAATGTCTAGGTTTAATATTTGGAGCGAAGACACACATGACTTCAGATCAAAAATTTCAATGTGTTATTATACTAATAACCTTAGGGTGTGGGTGTGAGGCCACCTAGCAAGGACTCCCGCCTCATCTTTATAACATCATCAACGTTTATTAACCACATCACTCAAAGGAATTATACTACAGTTGATCTAACTCTAAACACACATGAAAGTTAGTTTCTTCACATATATAAAAATGGAATTTAAAAAAAAGGAAAACAACAAAGTAAAAGAGATGAGGCTGAAAACAAAAGACCAAATAAAGAGAAGACAAAGGGAATTAACAACAATAGAAAGACAGTAGCAGCAAGGGTAGTGGTCGAAGAATAATATGGGAAGGCAGCTCAGCTACCCTTTCCTCTTAGCAAATCGGTGATCGCTAAGTCAACCAACGCACACTATGTACTCTTTGTGATCTTTTTTTTGGCTAACGTGTTCGTGTCGTTTTCGCCCTTTTGCAGTTTAACGTATTTTCTATTATGGGTATTACACTAACTTAAGCCTTGGAGTAGGCTCCGATTCGTTGGAGCCCATCCTTAGTGTCGTGTTCTATTTTACAAGGGAAAGGGATGCATTGGAGATCCTGGTGCCATATTACCAATTTTTTATACCCGTGCTACCGGTCTAAACATCCCTTTTAGTTGTGTTTGGTCCCACGTCACTAAAAGGGGAGTACTATATTGTATACGGATCAAATCGGGGCAACATACACCCCAATTTCTTGGTGGGACAAGCGAAGCAAGGATACGATTACACGGGGTCAGAATCAAAGTTGAGAATTTCTTGCACCAAGGCCCGAATAAAATGCTCACAATCGGACTTGATTAAACGACGTACCCCGGGGCCAGGACGGGTTCTGAGACTTCGAGAAACGCAGGAACGATTGTATACGACTAACAAAGGGCTGTGATATCCGCATACAATCGGATATCACGGCGTGAATCTCGCCCGATGTCGGTAATGGATCAGTAATTAATGAAAAAAGAAGATTTTTACCTTTTTTTAGACTTGTACTAGGGGTAAAACTCTCCTACTATATAAAGGGGAAGCTCTTGTTTGAGTGGATATATGTAACACGCATACCAAGACAATACAAAATTATTTCTATGCTTTCTAGCTACTAAAAAGTCTTTACTTTATTTTTGTTCTTTGTTCTTGATTGGCTTCGAACTCAAGACCCAACCGGGGGCAGTAACTATTGCCCAATCCAAGTTCACGTTAGACCATAACATTACGACTGTTTTGATTATTGATCGTATCTTTAACTCGTTTATCTAACGTTCTTGATTATTTGTGTTGAATCAATCCACATATCTTTAAAATCGCGTATAGTCAATTGTTATCCATTTTTAAGGGTAAATAGTTTGGCACCCACCGTGGGGCTAAGGATAATAGTGGTGGTTTGATAAAAAATTTCATAACACACTTCCTTTTTACACTTGTTCTTTAAGATTTCAATTTCAGGTCAGCTTAAAAATGTTAAATACTCAGTCTGCTCATTTGAATGTTGAGGCTAAGTCCGGCCATCACGGGCGAAAACAACCTGGTGCCTAGCAATGAGGTGCCCCATGCTGATCCCACGAGTCCCAGCTGCCGATCCAATCGACGCCAATTCACAGGTTGCTATCGACGCCCACCTGCCAACTGACCCCGAAAACAACGTTCATGGAGGCCCTCGACCAACAGTTCAAGAAACGCCCGAAGGCGAAGGTGACAGTTTAAGCCTATAATCTTCGAAATATTGCAGGCTCAACAAGCGACGGTACTAGAGCTACAGAACCAAGGCCATCCTCCCGGTAGGGTCGAGCCCGAACGGTCCCGGGAAAACACCCAAAGAAACAAGCAGACCACCGAAAGGTCGGTGAAGCTCCGGGGCCAACCCCGAGATAATGAAAATGCTTGAAGCATTGACAAAGTGAAATCAGGTGAGAAGAAAATTGAGGCCAACGACAAAAAGATGGAGACATATAATTCTAGGGTCGATCAAATCTCGGGAGCACCCCCGATATTAAAAGGATTTAGATTCCAAGATATTTATCCAAAAGCATTTCCCTCTGAGTGCTGCACCGAAGCCGATCCCGAAGAGGTTTCGTATGTTCGATATTCCAAAGTACAACGGAACCACAGATCCGAACGAGCATGTGACCTCATATACATGCGCCATCAAGGGGAACGACTTGGAAGATGATGAAATCGGGTCGGTGTATCTAAAGAAGTTCGGGGAAACTCTATCAAAATGAGCAATGATATAGTACCACAACTTACTCCTAAAATCTATTGATTCATTTGCTATGCTTGCAGATGCCTTTGTAAAGGCTCTACTGGGGCCATCAAGGTAGAGACCAGAAAATCGGACCTTTTAAAGGTTAACAAAGAGACAACGAGATGCTCAGGGAGTTCGTGTCAAGGTTTCAAATGAAACGGATGGATCTGTCTCCGGTTGCAGAGGATTGGGCTGTTCAGGCATTCATTCAAGGACTTAACCTCGAAGTTCCTTGGCTTTGCAGCAGCTAAAACAAAATTTAGTAGAATACCCGGTGGTAACTTGGTCAGACGTCCACAGCAAGTACCAGTCAAAAATTAGATCCCAGGACGACCAACTCGAAACCCCTTCTGGGTTTGTGTATCCTTCTAGGACCGACGACAGATCTAAGAGATTCGTCGATCACGAACCAAGATCGATTAGAGACCGGTACCAACCATACAACGGAGATCGAAGGGGAAACGAGTTCGGGCGTCACTCTACGAGGAATGAAAAGAGAAGCGATCGAGGGCCCAATTGCCGAGGTATGATGAGAAAACATGGTTTCGACAAGCAATTCGGGGCCAGGGAAGTGCCAAGATGGTCGGAATATAACTTCAACATCGATGCTACCAGCATCGTATCATCCATCGGGCGCATAAAGGACACCAAGTGGCCTCGACCATTGCAGTCCAACCCTACCCAGAGAGATCCTAACTTGATGTGTAAGTATCATGGCACTCATGGCCACAAGACCGAGGATTGCCGGAAATTGAGGGAAGAAGTTGCCCGGTTGTTTGATAATGGGCACCTACGAGAATTTCTAAGTGATCGAGCCAAAAATCACTTCAGGAACAGGGACACTAACAAACAGACCGAACAAAGAGAAACCTCAACATATCATCAACATGATCATTGGAGGGGTCGATTCCCCTCAAGGGCCAATTATAAAACACTCTAAAGTATCAATCACGAGGGAAAAATGCACCCGAGATTCGTTCGGCAATGAAGATGCCGAAGGCATCGTACAGCCTCATAATGATGCACAGGTAATATCCGTATTTACTAATAAATCTCGTGTTAAACGTTTGTTGATTGATCCAGGTAGCTAGGCCAACATCATCAAATCGAGGGACGTAGAGCAATTGGGTTACAAGATCAAATAGTGCCAACAGTCCGGGTGCTGAACGGATTTAACACGGCATGCGAAACCACCAAAAGGGAGATAACCCTACCAGTGAACACTGTTGGGATCATCCAAGAAACAAAGTTATATGTGATCGAAGGGGACATGAGATATAACGCTTTATTCGAAAGACCATGGGTTCAAAATATGAGGGGGGTACCTTCGACCTTACACCAGGCATTGAAGTTCCCTACACCAGGAGGAATCAAGACAGTATACAGAGAATAGCCGGCTGCAAAGGAGATATTCGCAGTCGACGAAGTACTCCCGATGCTCACCATCTCGACTTTAAGGAACATGGAGCCAACCAAAAAGGTTGAAGTTAAATAGCAACCACCAATGTCGGTCCCGGTCGGACCGGAGGAACGAAGAGCTGACGAGGAGGATAATTATGAAATTCCGAGATCATTGGACGAAGAATTGGAGCAAGTCACACTGATCAAACACCTGACAGATCAAAAGGTATACCCGGGCACGGGGTTAACCCCCGAGCTCAGGAAAGAACTCATTAATTTTCTTAAAGCTAACATAGTTCATTTCGCTTAGTCCCATCTTGACATGATACAGATCCCCCCGGAGGTAACCACTCATAAGCTGAGTTTGGACCCGAAGTTCCACCCGGTTAAATAGAAAAGGAGACCTCAGTCCGAGGTCAAGCATACATTCATCAAGGACGAGGTATCTAAACTTCTTAAAATAGGGCCTATTCGGGAAATTAAGTACCCGAAGCTAAGAATGTGTGTAGAGTACAAAGAATTGAACAAGGCATGCCCTAAGGATTCTTTTCCTTTACCTAACATTGATCGGATGATCAACACAACGGCTGGGCACGGGACACTCAGCTTTCTAGATGTCTATTCCGGGTACAACCAAATTTCGGACGGACCCGGGCGACCAAGAAAGACTTCTTTTATCACTAAATTAGGCACCTATTGTTATAATGTAATTCCATTCGGATTAAAGAACGTCGGTGCCACTTATCAACGCCTAGTAAATCGGATGTTCGAAGAACATATAGGAAAATCATGGAAGTTTATATTGACGACATGTTAGTTAAGTTCCTGCGAGCAGAGGACCATTTGAAACATTTGCACGAAACCTTCGACATATTGAAGAAATACAATATGCATCTGAACCCAGAGAAGTGCACATTCCGGGTCGGATCGGGACAATTCCTCGGGTTCATGGTATCCAATCGAGGAATCGAGATCAATCCCGACAAAATTAAAGCAATAGAAGACATCACTGTGGTGGAC